CCTTTTTTAACAATTCATTCAGCTTCTTTAGAAACTTTTACCTTCTTCACTATCAAGGCTTTCACCGTTCTGCTGCCATAACATCATCCATTTCTTCAGTTGCCATTTCGTGATCGTCATTCTCGACTAATTTTTTGACGTCTCCTTCTTCCATAGCTGACAATCCTTCGCCGCCTATTGCTTTTGCAGTTTCTACGATTTCCTTGGCTCCATTTTTCATTCGATGGAAGTCCTTTAAAACTTTTGACAACTTCAGACCAGAGCTGAGAACAGGAAGCATTTACTGTTGATAAATTCATCTGTTCCGATGAGAGTTTAATGATTTGCGTTCAGTGTTTTATGTTGAACTGCTTTCATAATGCCATTACAGTGTCGTGTTTTCTTTTCTCTAGTGCCTAATTTATAGAGATATTTACACGCCTGAGACAGTAGGCTTTGAATTTTCTATGATTCCTTGATCCAGAGGCTAGATTAAGGGAGTGATGTTCTGTGGAAGAAATAAGACCTCGACATTTACATGTAATGTTGCGAGGGCTTCAGCAACGTGTCTTGGAGCATAATGGACAATTAGGAGAACTTTAAAGCTCAGGTTTTACTTTTCAAGATCAGAGATTAGCTTGAGAGCGAATGAACCGAGTTGGAGAGCTATACTTTAGCACGTGAAGCTGTCTTCACCGCTTGTAGCCTGAAGGCTGTGTTACTGACTGTTTCAGCATGTTTATTGTAGTTTCTCAACTACTGTAAACGTGTCTTTAGAACTCTCCTGAGTAATACTGGAGAATAAACTGAGTTTTGATTCTAATCAAGTATTACTGTCAATTACTCCAAATCTACGAACCCCTACAATATAAATATTTTAGAGATAATTGCGATTAGAGTGCCAAATGAATTATGGCCATAAACGTCAATTGAAATAAAAATGAATATTTCCTTTGTGGTTCAAAACAGATTCAGATACCGGGAAATGGTTTTCGCGCATGGAAGTTCTTGTGTTTTCCCTATGTATAATATGAACTACTTTCCTTACATACAGACATACATCTCTTGAGGGCTTCATCAAAATCAATAAAAAAAAAAAACTCTTTCTCTCTTTCGTTCTCTTCTTGAGAAGAGATGAAACAAGAATAAAAATTTTCCGAGCTTAGTAAAAACATTCAAAAACAATAATTTTTCATGATGAGTATAAAATCTTTGCAAATATCTGTGAACTGGAAAAGAGCATTCGCCATCAACAGCAAATTTAGTCAGATTTTATACTTTGCTTTAATTACAAAAGGGTTAGACTTATTTGAATTATTTATAACAAATCCTACGAGGCTTATCTGCCTAAGGAGAAGAATGCCGTCCTGAGGATTCCATGAGGGAAATTGGCTGGTATTCCTACACGAAAGGTCACCGCCATCATAGTAAGGATATGAACCTGTGTCGAACATTTAGGGTTCACCGTTCTTAGTACTCGGCTGATAATATTTTTCATACTCTTACTATATATCATACTCTTACTATACTTACTAGTTACCAACCATGTTCCAGACGTCTGATTGATTTAGTGGCTAATCTTCCTGGCTGCCGTATCATTGGGTTTGCTTTCGAATTCCAGAGAAGGCTGGGATATTTGTAAGTGTATAGTGTCTATGCAGCAAGGGGGCACTTAAAATACATAACGAGGCAAAAGTCCTCTCGGGTGGTTGTTGGTAGAGGAAGATAATGTGAGGCCTTCAGACAGCCTTCCGTAGTGTCCCCATTATTATTGGGGAGGAGCTTAACAATTAGCAAGGCCTACGAGAATGCACAGATTTCGGTCTTGATTCAACCTATACCTGCACCAAACATGTCAATTAACGACAAATAAGGCTATTGTACACTTCATTTTAACATCAAAATACAAGGAAATTTTAAAAAAGGTGGCAAAATTAATAAACCATTTTTGATGACTTGTTATCAAGTCTAAAAAATTATATCTATTAAATATGGACTGTATAATTGAGTACATCGCGTGACAACTATTAATAAGTACTTTCAGCGCAATATCGTTACATACATCCCTGGCATATATATCACGATTACACCACTAGTAGCTTTTTCTGTGCTTTTAGGTTAGTTCTGACCCAGGTACAATATTTCCTTAGCATAATATTTCCACATTACAGAAATCAAGAAAAATTGATTTTATAATGCAAACAACACTAGTTATTAGTATATCAGAGGACTGCAAAATATTTATGAACAAGCATAAATTAGTCTTCATGTATATGTCAGCATATCAGTCGCACTGTAATTTTCCCCTAACAATAACCATTAGAGGTGCAAGGATACTTAAATTTGCATAAAAACTCGATTCAGAGTACGATATTTGTACACTTTCATGTCACGTAATATAGAAATTTGTTATAATAATACTACGTTGGTAGTAGATTAAATAACATATAAAAGACAAACCTAACAAACTACACCACCTAACAAATAGTAATGAAATTTGTATTTATTGCTTTTTTTCAAGACCTTTAATAATCCATCAAACTGTCAGCAAAAGATCAGCGAGATCTGTACATAGTGCTAAAACAAATACAGCAACATCAATATACCCATTACCTAAATAATGCACGCATTAGAAACTTTATGCAAGTCAAATTTTAAAGCCAGGACTTTTTTTTTTAAATGGTTAGTAAAGAATGCTGGCCATTATAAAAGAATATGAAGTGTTCAACAACAACGATATGATATCGTTGAAAGAAGCTTAATCAAGATTCTGGGTAATGAAAAGACAGCAAGTGATTAGGTAACTACAATCTACCTGTTACGTTAAAATTTAAATTCTCTGGTATTTAGAACCACGGTGTATTAAAAGTGAGACTGTCTATCGGAAATTCTAAACATATGCTGCTATGTTGTTTCAAAATTTTTGTGATTTTGCTGCTGAGTTGTATATGATGTAAATGAGAAGAAACAATGCTTAATAATACAGCTAAAAAGGCATGGGGAGGAGGTTAGCAGAAATGAGTGCAACAGTAGACTGCGAGCTCAGCGAAAGCGTAAAAAACCTTAACAAAACCATTTGGGCGGCCGTTAAAATTTGAAACCTTTAAGATTTTTTTAATGATTTTTTTGCTGCTTATGTGACATGAAAATAATACAACTTTACACTGATTTTAAACAAGTTTAATATAAATTTAATAACCTGAACAAAATATCCGTCTTTGTGAGAATACTAGGTGATCCCAAAACTGTATAAACACACGAAAGTTACATTTTAGTGAATTTTTCTGTGTGTAATAGACGAAATGGATAAAATTAATGGAACATTACAGAATTTTATTATATAGATTTAATAATTACAATCATGTTTGTCCAATGGCACATTACATATAATGGAACATAAAATATCGTAAAGAAAATGCTTAATGAAATAGCAATCATTATCCAGCAATGTCTGAACATGATCTAGGGCAGCGGTTTTCAACCTTTTGACTAACGCGTACCATCTGAACAAAAACTGAAAACCTTTAGTACCACCACTACAAAGTACTACTACCACCACCCTCTTGAACAAAGCTCAGATCGCATAAATTTACCAGTGTTAGAGAAAAAACTCGATCAGGATGACGGGGTTTTAATTTTAAAATTTAATAGTTAAAAATACTTTGCTTCTTCGCGTACTACCTATTTTTCTCTTATATACCACTGGTTGAGAACCCCTTGTTTAGGGTATTATGAACAACATGAAACAGCATTTCCGTAGATACGATTGATGCATGCCATCTGATAGCGATTTTTATGCCTCTGATATTAAATGATCTCTGTATACCTGGGACTAGGCAATTCTGAAGTCAAACAATCACAAGATTTCAGGTTAGGAGATTTCGATGGCCTTTCATGTTGATAGGAACAGCTTAATACTGAATTCTCTCCAAAATTTGAAATAAGAGTACTTCTGCATGTGAAACAAACGAAATGATCCTTCATTTCATACGAATGTCGCTAAACCCACCACTTGACCTTTTCTAATACTGCTTTGCGCAAGCGATAATTCAGGAGCAAGAGCTGAAAATTCAGCATTTGAAGCCACAATGTTGCTCATAAGATATAATTATAAGCAAAATAGCTATACAATAAAATGTTTTACAGTGCTCTCGTCAATTTCGAGGGTTTTGGTGTTAATGAATTAGCCGTGTATTTATTAAAATACAGTTTTCTAAATACTTCCTGGGTTTTGGATCACCCTACAGAGAAGACAAGATCATTGAGGATTTCAAGATCAGAGACAAGAATCAATTTTATAGTAGCGACGAATCTACAAAAAACGAACGAAACGCAAACATCATTCCAAAGGCAAGCAAAAGATCATATATAAACAACACTCGCCAGATTTTCTTTTTGAAATTGCACATCATTTTACAAACAATAGCTAGCGCATTAAAATACAAAACTGAAAAATCAGTTTCATACCTTCAAAACATTTGGTAAAAAGGTACTGAAATAAATAACAAAAATTTTGATAAAATGCTGACACTGATTACAGGTACCAAAGCTATTTAAGGATGTTTACAGTTTAAATTTTATTATGATTAAATGCATCATATACAGCAAAGTATGATAAATATCATGAAATTAAGTCAATAACTCTGAGTTTGTTATCTGTAAAAGCACTGTTCTATTCACTGTAATAGCTACAAAATAATTTTTTGTATTGTTGATGAACACTGTCATATAGCAACAAATATCTGACTTTAGACAATGAACAACACGAACATAAACAACTCCTAAGGCTCAAAACATAATTATACTCATGATGGATTCCAGATAGCATTTAAAAATGATTAAATAAATGAAAAAAATCAGTGCTATATTAATACATTGTACGTGATTAAAATTTTCGACACCCCCTAAAATGCTGTAAAAATTCATCCTGTAAAATGCTGTAAGAATAACTAGTTTGCATGGTTATAATTCATATTCAATTCTGTGAATTTATAATCTGTACAGAAAACAAATACACTTACCAGTTTTATACAAAGCAAAGGCTAAATTGACCTGAAAGGAAAAAAATACAAGTTTAAATAAAAAGAATAGAACAGTATTACATTTCATAATACAATTCGTCGACAACTTAAAACAGTTAGTCCAGAACAATATAAATCGAGTTTGATTCTCAGATTAATCACCACTTTCCCAAAAGAAAACACTATATAATGAAAATTCCATGAGTTTTCAAAATTACGTTTACTAACCGTTTGCGTGCCAATCTTTCCGTATGCGAATGGCTTAAACAAAATCCTAAAAAATCGCCTAGTTAAAATTTTTTAGTTTGTTCTAACAGTAAAAGTTTCAAACTTTTATAGCAAACAGACTTTGGAAGTTCGAATTTTAATGTCCGAGGAAAAAAAAAAAAGAATATAATATTAAATAATACAACAAAATCAAGAAAATAATAAAATGAAATTAATATTAAAGGAAAAATCTATCTTAAAAAACTACAAAAGAAATGATATTAATAAAATAGTAGAATGGTTCTATAGTAAGCCAAATTTCTTTGCTAACAATGCTTTCAAGCAAAAGAGAATACTTAACAAAGTTAAAAAAAGTTCTTGGGAAATATATATGTAAGGGGAAAAAAATAAAATCAACGTGATATCACATTATACCCTCGAAACCATACTACAAAAGAAATGGTATTTATAAAATACTAGAATGGTTCTATAGTAAGCCAAATTTCTTTGCTAATAATGCTTTCAAGCAAAAGAAAAAACTTAATAAAGTAAAAAAAATAATCAAGATTCTACGGAAATATATATGTAAGGGGAAAAATTAAAGTAACGTAAAATGACATTATACTCTCGAAACCATGTTTCTAGGAGAAATTACAGGTGTCCGAGGAAGAACAACAACCATTTATGCTTAAAGTCATACCGAAGGCTATTTCAGAAAATCGTTTAATTAATTCTTATTTTAAAAAACAGCGAAGACTTTGTTTCATAATCTCCAAAAATTCGAAACTTTATAACAAGTACAGTTTTGAAAGCTGGAGTTTTAAAACAAGAAAAGTGAAACGGTCGCAAAAAATTCAGTAATTTTCAAAAAAATTCCCTAAATCAGTAAACTGCGTTAAAAATTTGATGTAAACTCCATTTAAAAAATTTCATTTCAATTATGATGTTGCAAACAATAAAATTCGGAGAATATTAGCTTATTCGTTAAATGAAGATATGTACCAAAAATTGACACAAAATATAATTCAACAATGAAATAAATAAAAACCGAAATCGAAATTTTATGACATCAGTTCGACGTGCATGGCTCGGAAAACACACGTTCCAAATTTCGTAGCTCTAGGCCTATCCATCTCCATACTGCGACGAACTCACATTCTCACAAATTATTCATTTCACAACAGAGATATAAAAAAATTTCTCTTGCCCGTAGTTCTCATAAACCTTCAACTATTAAGATTTTAAGAAATAACGAATATTTTATTTAAAAAATAAAATAATATTTTCCGCTGCTATATTAAAATTTAGGAGTTCAAATGACAAATTTTTATAAGCCATTTTGATAACATCTGCTATATGACTAGCTTTCAAAAACAAAAATATTGCTAAACGTCTGAGAAAATTCTGTTATGGTTATATGATTTTCCCGAATTAAGTTCTTGATAAAAGCCAAAATCGATTAGAATATCGATTGCGAAAATATGATATCAGTACACAAAGGGCGTCAACTTAATCACGCATACTTTGCTTTCACGGTGGATGCCATGAAATGCGAATTTCAAGTAATTTCACGCAAGCATCGAGGCAATGATGGGTACATCTATCTTTCATGATTCGCTGAATAGCTCTAGCTTTTAACAAGAATTTATTATTTTCTATACAATTTGCGTCAGCAGAATGGTTGTGGTATTTTCAAATAAACGATGGTTGCTAATCATTTCCTGAGCAAACATTTTTTCTTGTTTTAGAGAAAAAAATTTTCATTATGTGGTCAAAAAAAGTAAATCACATTGTGTGGTCAAACGGCTTAACAGAGATTTAATTATCAAAGAGAAACCAACAAGATTTTATTTTTTATTTTTAGTCACATACGACCAATAGCACATAATAATTCAGAAAATAATTTTCCACTTTTTAGTGAATTTAATTTAAAATCATGTAATTTAGAAGGTCTTTCATATGTTTTGTTACGTACCTTTTACTCTAGAGAATATTCAAAATCAATAATAAAAGAAAATTATTGATTCTGAACGTAGAAAAATAATTTTTTCCAGTTAAGCTTAAGATCGCACATAATTCATGTAAATTTCTACATCACTTAGAGGTTCAGTGATATGAAATTTTCTTTAACAAATTTCATGGGTACAAAAAAATTTTCAAACAAACAATTTATAAATTTTTTAATGTTGAAAATATGTTAACGATACTTAGATGAAGTTTTATTACTTTAGAACCATAACCTAACTGCCGTATGAGAAATTCATATACACTTAAAGTATTTTTAATTTTTAATTTATGCAAATAACGTTGAAAGTTAGCTGTGCGCCAACATTTAAAGCCTGCCACTGTTTTTTTAGAAAGACGAATTCTGTAAGATACTGTAAATAACACCCTTTTATTGAAAACTTTGCGTATTAATATTCTTCACTTAATCTGTTAACATCAAAAACCTTTTCCAAGCTAATATTCCATTGTCAGTTACATACAAAATTATTTTACTCTTCAATTCAAGTACGACTCCTGAATTTTCAAGAAACATGACATCAGATTTAAAAATTAAATATTAACACAGTTAATTTTTATCATATGGGAGCGTTTCCTTTTTTTAGAAACAGTATAAATTTCCACTAATCGTAACTAGGGAACCATATAACTCTAAATTTCTTAATTAAAAGAAGAATTTTTAAATTTTGAAATACAAAATATCAAAACATGAATATTTGCGTCATTTAAAATAATTTTGTAACAGGATGCAAATGTCTAGGAGAGTGATGTAAAACTCGCGGCCTCGAGTCACGCCGAGAAAATAACAAATATATAATTATAATGTACGGCATTTTCTCCCTTCTTTCTCCATGCCTTCGTGGTGTAACGGTAGCAAACTCGGGGCGTGTTCGAGAGGTCCATGTTCGAGTCCCGGCGAGGGCATTGTACATTTTTCATGTCTCCCGCTCAAAAATAAGCTAATGACTTTACATATTAATAAAATTTGGAATTCCATGCAATATCGAGGAGAAAATACCATCTCATTTACAGATGGAATTAACAGAAATTCAGTATGACTCATTTAAAGCAAAAATTCCATGCTGTGGTTATGCCCGAATTTTAAAATATCTGCCTGCGAGGTTCCAAAAGATATACAAATCTGCGTTGATTTCCAGATTTGGTAGTACGTATCAGTGCAGAAACCTTTTCCCATTTTTTAAAAATGATGTAGTAAAACTGATGATTTATTAAAATGATGTTATTATAAAAGTCCCCAGTGGGATCTAATCAATTTGATACATTTGACCCACACATTCGTTTAATCTTTGTTCTGAGAATCGTTAGTTAGTGGGAAAAGCATGTCTGTAACATCCAAATGCCGACTCTAGAAAAAAGATGCCAGATATCAGGAAAGTAACAATATTGTTACGAATTTTATATATATGTATATAATGTTAGCGAAATAATATGTAAAATTGTAGCATTTCTTGTGTAATCTAATATGAAATGCCTCGAAAAAGCGAAGATCTGATGGAAAAATACGATTGCAGGCACAAATCTAGTTAATACTGTTATAAATGACTGTCTCGTTAAATTGGCGAGATATCGCCAAGCTATATGATTTTGGCGACTTATTTTTACCAACAGTTGCTAAATTTGGCGACTATTTGGTGACATTTTGGTCCGGTCCCTGTATAAATGTAAATGGCTTAAATGCTTGTGTAACTGTATCCGGCCCTTATATGTAACAGTAACCGTCCACTAATTTCGAGAAATGAAAAATGCTAGAAATTTCCCATCGGCCGGGGAAAAACTATATAAGACAGAAGATAACATAAGTTTTCAGTTTTTAGTTGAGAGTTGGCTTCGTAGTATAGAGAGATCTCCGTGTGAACTTTGCTGTTTACATGCACTTTGCATTGAGTTGTGCTTAAAATCCTTAGTAATTTAAAGTGGTAACTATTTTAGAAACTACACTTCTCAAGATGTGTAGTGATGTGATGTCACCATAATCTTGAGAAGTGTCGTACGAGTATTTTTGTCGAAAGTTCCAGAATTGCTAAATATTTCTTTTTGCGAAAATAAATCTTATCAAGTTATCACCGGTAAAACAGTATGTATCCATCTACTAACAAGATTTAGTTTTTAAAGAATTTCACTATTCGGTAAGATTTTATGCATTTACACACTATTTAAATATATTATTAAGTATGAAAAATGGCTTTTTTCCCTTGCAACCCATGCTAATGCACACTGACGAATATTTGGCCGACTTGAAGAGTTGAGCAAACTCAACTGTGCCTGGTATAGGACAAACGGCTGGAAAAACAGACTGTGTAAGTACATTTATAATCATGCTACATACAGTACTCACTAATATCCTGTAAAAAAGAAAATTATAGCAAATCTTACATGATTTTACGGAGACAGTTTTGAGCAAAAGAGTATTATTACGAAATATTGCTCTTTCGTTTGATATTACCGTATTTTCGACATTATATTCTGTAATAACTAAAATCTGAAGTAAGAAAAATTATCAATTCTGGCAAGCATTCCTATTGTTCTTCGAACAACGCATTCTGCCTTTTTTTGGCGATAAAAATACATAAAACTAAACCTTCTTTTATAAAATGAATGATTTGATTCAACTTCCAAAGTTTTTATCTCTTTTTGGCACTTTTATTTTCGTTTCAATCCAAAACAGGCGAAGAATAATGAAAAACGGAAAACAATTACTCGAAATTCGCTGCTTTCTTTCTTTCTCTTGATCTGATTCAGCTCACCTTTCTTTCTTTCTTTTTTTTTTTTTTTAACTTCGCCGCTACTGCTAACAGACAA